AGGTGTGTCATCACCATGCTCCCCTCTATTGCCAAAAGTACTCCTCCAAGCTCTAAGAGGGGCTCCTAAACAAACCTGCTTTCCATGACCCACACCTTTGTGAACTCTTCATTTAGGAGATCTTACAGCAAGGTTATGTTTCTCGCTACCGCAGAACTGGAAAACTTGGTGCATCATTGCCGAACTCCCCATACTTCATAGCACTTGCTCCTTTTTGGATGCGAGGGGAAAGGAACCACCCAGAGGAAGTTGGCTGCCCCCGTCTAACTTCTAGATTGGAAGGAATGAGACTTGATTGACCCAGTTCTGCCTCCCCTCTCCGTAACCTTGCTGCAAGATCTCCTAAACAGAGATTTCTCAGAGGTGTAGGACGTGGCAATGCCTTTGCAGCTTTACATAGCACAGATTGGCAGATCCAGCTCTCCCCTCATTGGAAGCATGAGGGGAATAGAATCTGGAATCCCATTCACAGCCTCCACCTCTGACCTGAAACTGGGGAGGGCGGGAGGATGACCTCAAATGTCTTGACAAAGCTGCTCTTTGCGCTTTGTTGCCTTGTGACTTTTGAACTTTGTGAGATTTTTTTTTTACGAGAAGTTGGAAGGTCTGATTTTTTAGTCCCGTGAACTTCTTTGTTTTCCATGTATGTTTCTTCTGTTTGCAATGCAGCTTTTCCATTTCTTTAGTGAAAGAAGAGCATATTGAGCTGCAGCACAAATGCAACAGAGCTGGAAAGCAGGTTTGTTTAGGAGCTAGCTTCTGTAGACTTTCAGAAAGCCAAGGTTCATCTTGTAGGTAAGCTTTTTCATCTGTCCCAAAGCGGGGACAGAGCTGTTCTGGCTAATATAATTTGTCATGGGCTCTAAAGCTATTTCCCAGGGAAAAGCTCTGGTTCATGATTAAAACATCTGATGTGAGCACTTTGATTTAATGCCAAAGCAGGTTTGTTTAGGAGCCCCTCTTGCAATTTAGCAAAGGAATGCTTTTGGCAACTTAGCGGAGCAGGTTGGTGGTGCGCCCACCTCTCCAGCTCCATAGCAGTGGAGAAATGCAATGGAGCTGGAGAATAGGATTGTTTTTAGGAGACCCTCTTGCAATTTGGAAAAGGGGTGCTTTTGGCAAATGAGGGGTGGCGTGCCAAGCTCTCCAGCACTACAGCAGTGCAATTTGTGAAATCTGGGTGGGTTCTGCACTCCAGCACTTGGCAGGACTGGGCCTCGTGGGGATGGGGAGAGGCTGGCCAGATGCTTCTCCACCTAGCTTGATTAGAGCTCCAGCATGCAAGGCTGCATAGGAGGTGAGCATGGGCAGTTCGGTGTGGCACCAAAGTAGGATGTTGCAGCATCTCTGCGATAGTTCATAAGTGTGAACAACCACTTTTACTCTGCAATATACATAATTTTGGGACCTGGTCATAAGTATTTTTGGCAGAGATGGTGTAATTGTCACCGTTCCAAATACCATGTAGAATCAACTCAGAATCAAAGGCAAAACGATGCTTAAAGTTCCAATTTAATAAAGCAGGCATGTTGGCACATAGCTGTGGGATCCCAACTCTGGAAGTTACATCAGAATACCACCCAATTAAAAGTTTATGATCTTGTCCCCACACCCACAATCCATCACATGGTCCAATCTCCTTCTTCCACGCTGGCGTCCATGCCTAGCTTCTTCTGATCAGGTGTACTCGTGTGGAGACAAAGGATGACCTTGGCTTCTAGCAAAGAATGAAAAAGAATACATTCCAAAATCCTGCTCCTTCTAATCCCCCCTCCCATTGACTATACTTAAAGAAACAGCGTAATGAAATAAGAGAAAGTGTGGCAGGCCAAAATTCTAAAAGGAATATAAATGCAGGCATGACAGTAACTTTGTACATTCTCTAAGTGAACGTTTATAATTCAAGGACTATCTGTAATGGCCATCACTATTAACTGTAGTATTGTAAATTAGCTGTCTGGAAAGCAGTCCCTGTCTAAAAATAATAGTAACCTGATATACTTGTGCAGTGCATTAAAATGAATCCTCAACAAAAATTTTAATAAACGCATAAATGAAATTTGTTTGAAAAACTAATGGGGTGAGGAGAAAGATTAGATTTTCCTCGTACTGCACATAGTGGCCCTGATTGGTATTAATTAAGTTCCATTCGGGGAGTTAAAAGCTACTTACACAGTACAATAACACAGATTATCCATATTGTCTAATTTGTTGTTGCGGGTGGATTTACCTGTTGTTGCTTCAAAAAATTTCACTTGCAGAAGGTGGTGGGATTAGAGAAATTACATATTTAGCAAAATTGTACAGATACTCTTTCTAAAAAAAACATTTGACATAACAAAACATCTATTAATTACATACTGCAAGACTCAAATTTGTAGACTGATCTTTGGCATGAATTCTTCCTACAGAAGAAGCATAATATCTAAAAATGAGACCTAATTTGCTCTAAATGAAGAATAATTTATTTTTTTCCTTTGAAAACAAAAAATAATATTCTTCCATTAAGGTATAATCCAAGGACAGCTAGCTCCAATTTCCCTGCTCCAATTTTTCAGAAATTCAGCAAACTTCATCTTCTCAGGAACATCTATTATTTCTAGGGATTTCTTGTCCTTCTGTTGAAAAACACAAACTTTATAGCTTTTTCATGTTTTGCTTATGTTTAATCAATAGGAGACACAAATTTACTTCTCTCAAAATTGCATGTCAGGTTGGTTCATGTTCAATTGGGTTATGTTCTGAATCATCATTTAACCAGAACAAAATAGCATAGCCTTTATTGTCATTGTACATCATATATACGAAATTGGTTAAAATCTTATGTCACTGCATATACCTAATTATACTAATAATCATTGTAATACTTATTATTCTAAATAATGATTTAATAATATAATTATTATTTTAAATTTTATTTGCAATGAAATTTTAGTGAACTCATAGTTAGCAAATTGGTGTTAAATTTAGAAACAAATTTCCTTGAAGGAAATATATGGAGGTTTATTCTAATATGTTCATTTCAATCTCCAAAGGTTTTCTAAGCACAAGTAGAAGACATGGTGATGTCAAGGATTAAAGTAAATATTATACAAACAAATGAAAACATGAGAGATTCTTTCAACAACAAATCAAAATATTATGAATTTGGTTCTTTTAAATGTGTACTTTCTTGTCTGATTGTTCTGCCCATCTTTAGTTATGGTCCACAGGGTTTGCTACAAGGGATTATGTCTTTAATTGATACATTTCCACCCATGATTTTTTTCCAAATAAAGTATCTCTGGACTCCTCTTTGATATACCTAGAAAGTCTTGCTAAATTAATTGTTAGAAATAACACTCTTTTGAAGTCTACTTTCCCACAATTGTTTCTTCTGTAAGTATGTTGCCTATCTTAGAGTAAATGTGAAAAAGTGAATTTTATCTAGATTATGAAAGTACAAATAAATAACTGCAGCTTAATTCCATAAAAATTACCCAAAAGAAACTATGCAGAATGTGAAAATTATCAGAAATCCTAGGTGGACTTGAAGAGAAACTATTGCAGCATCCAATTAATATAGACATGGGACAGAGAAGAGTTTATTGTCCATTTGTTTCTACTGGTAGAACATCCAGCTGCAGTTACATTTGAAAGGTAATGAGAAAATTGAAGAGTTCAAGTCAGACCTTGTTTTTTTTAAAGGTTTAATTGACTCATTTTTCATGTGTCAGGAATGTATGTGTCAGGAATGTACGTCATCTTTCAAACTCTATGCATGTAATTCATTGGGAAATGTTAGAAATATTTTAATTATTTTAAACGCAGTATTTATTTATTTGCCATTAATAGCCCATCTTTTCTTCTAGAGCTTAAAGTGGCTATATATGTTAGACCATCTTCTAATTGCTTTTTATCACACTGTGTTGAGAAATAATTATTGGCCCAATGTCATCCAGTGATCATTAACTGCTAGCCTCAATTCTCATCTACTACTTCAACCAATTGACATGTGATTGCATCTGTGAACATTTGGCATATTATGGAAATAGAGCCATGATCTTAGCATAATTTGACAAACATTTGAATGGCATTTGCATAGCATAGTGGCACAAGATTTCTTAGCCATATTGAGAAATTGGCATTAGCAAAAAATCTCTTGAGTTCTCAGTAATGACCAACACAATATCTTGCTAGAATTTGAAGCAGTTAAATTTGCAGAATTGGAGACTGCAGAGTTATGTACTGTTATGAAATGATTTGGTATTTGACTGAAAGTGTCTGTTTTAAGTTATAGGAAAGCTATTAATTTTCAAACATGGCCAAATAATTTTGAAATCAGGTTAGTGAATTTACATCAAAATTTGTACTATTTTATAAGAATCAAAATGCTGCTAGGAGTTTTAAAAGCTAACAGTTTTAAAAGCTAACATATGGTAAATGAAGAAGTGGTTCTGAGTTAGTTGCAACAATAAATTGTTGCTGTATCACTTGAAAACATTTTCCACAAGGATATCAAATCTTTAGCACTGAGAAAGCCCCACCCCAATTAGGAAAAAGGAGATTTCAAGTTCACGAAAAATCAAGTACAGTTGACCTGGAAAGTAATCACTGTCAAGGATATTGGCAATTTTAAATCTGATTAAGTGACTTAACAGATTTGATGAGATGGTTACCTATTAAGTTGTAGCAAATCTAGGTCCAGACCAAAATGTATTTTCCACTGGATAGAAACAATGTGACACGGTTGAGCGAATAAAGATTTAAAGCAGACTATAATAATAATTTTAATATATTTAAATATTTAAGCCAAGCACAGACTTGAATAGCTCCCTACTTTGTTCTTAAATTATCAAGTTGATAATTTTTTTTGTTATCACAAGAAAACAGTGAAAATAAACATGAAACATTATCAATTACCAGTGTTATCACTGAGGTTTCCAGCAACCACTATATACGCTCATGGATAAGAATACTGCAGGAGTTTTATGTAGGTTTCAAATTTACTCCTGCTTTTCTAGGGACCCTGATATTGCCTCTTGTGTTATCCAAATGAAGAAAAAGCAAAAGGGCATGGGTGGCCATTAAAAACCACAGTGGCCCCATGACATTGAATAAATGATGTCAATTACATCAATCACATTATCTGCATGACTTTATCATGACATTTGTAATATCATTTGCTCTCCTTTACCCCTGTATGGTTACTCATGCCAAAAGAAGACTCAGAAACACAACCTGTTCTATGCTGTTTCTGTGTATGCAAATGTCAGCTGCCACCTTCTGCTTGCTGTACTTCACTGCTATGCGGTGACAGAATGCCATGAACTGTGGAGGGGGAATGAAGGGGAAATGCTTGGGAAATCTAAAATAGATGCTGGACCTCAAGGTCACCCAGCTGGAAGAAGGAGGGAGCTGCATATCAAACTGTGTTTGGACTGAACATTATGAAGACATCTTGCATGGACTTTATTGGTTACACTGTGGTGCCCAATAAGAAACTGTTAAGGGGGAGTAGAACTTAGGGGTTTTTGCATGCGATTATCAATTTTTACTAATGCTATAATACTCTTGATTGCTAATAAAAGTATATGTTTCTCAACAAATGGAGCCAACAATCATTTCTATTTAGAGGTTCAAGTCTGACAGCATAGTTGCTTTATTGATATCTATTGAAGCTCATTGCATAATCTTTGTTAAATTTTGGGATTAGATTGCAAGATGATGCATCATACCTTCCACTGACAATGATATGAATTCCTCCTGCTCCCCTTGAGTATACTCAGATTAATGTGGACACTATTCTTAAACAAGCATTGTTAAACCTTAGCTTTCATTAAGTCTTAGTTATTCTTAAGGTATGTATTCAATCAGGTTTAAAATCAAGGTGAGGTAAAGGTAACATGTAAGGGGGCTAGATCAAGATAGTGCCCAATCCTTCATCTTGCTGCCCATTTTGGAAGCATGGTTGAATTAAGAGCATTGTGTGCGTTTCATCTCTTGGTAATTTAAAATTGGTTCTTATTAGGCTTCTTTCACAATGTCTTATCTTAATGAGATTCTCCTGTAGATAGTCTAATCTAGATAATGTCCTAATCTATGGACATTTTCAAGAAATTTATATAGTAATTTATCTATTACTTTATATAGTAATCCATATGCTTTTCAAATAGAAAGTCTGTTTTGAAGATATTGAGGAAAAAGGGACACACACCCTGTAATTCATATCTAGAGAGGCCTTCTAGTAATCATCCAATCATCCAGACAGAGGAAAGAGCTTTTTCAGAGAAGATATCCTCTGGAGGGAGAATCATTATCATTTAATACAGAAAACTTTTTCATTTGGGGCGGGGGGGGGGGGCTTTTCAATATTGCTATGTTTTAGCATTTAAACTATTTTAAGATGCTTTCAGTAGTTATTGGTTAGAATGTATAATTGTACTTTTATGTTTAGATTGTTCTGTAATCATTCATATGTTCATTATGTTTCAGCTATTCTCAAAATCCTGTTTGCCTATTGAGTAGGTTAAGAATAAATTTCAGGAACAAAAAAAAATACATGATCATTCTAGGTGGCAGATGTCAACTACTTCCAAGTCAACTACTTTGCCAACTTCCCTGCCCTAAGCTGGTATCTTTCAGAAAGAGTAAATACTGTATTCTTTCTCTTTCATTAACCATCAGTCAGATTTAACAGGAGTCTGACTATATCATAATCAGTCTATGAAATTGAAAAGCATAAGCATATGTAACCATCCAATTTGGTTCATACCAAATGTGACCATAACTTTGTTTATTTGTAACCCATCAAGTGTCTATATGTGTGTGTGCCCATGCCTTCGTGTTGGCTCCAGGCAATTGTCTGGACTGGTCCCTGCAGTTTTCTTGGTAAGATTTTTGGAAGTGGTTTACCATTGCTTTCAAGTCATAAAAGGAGTTTTTTTAAAGCTAAAAGTGAGCAAAAGAAGTTATGATTCAGTGTAATGTTTGAATCAAACCTGTGGAACCAAGAATATAACTGTCATGTGTTACATAAATATGGAGAACAAAAGTTAGTTTTCAGGTTTTTTTTTAAATTCTTTGCTCTCTAAATAAATCTAGAAAATTACAGAAATTTAAGGTGTGATAGTAGCAGCTATCGATGTGAGGATAATCTTTTCATGAATTATCTGAAAGCATTCAGTCACTAATGGAGTGAATCCACTCTAGTTATTTTTTATATGAACCATGCACCCTGCATTTAAATCCAAAGAATTTTACCACTGTAATCCAAACTTTACTTTGCCTTTTAGTGTCCTTTAGCTTAGAATTAAAACAATCAGGTCTGAAATATTAGCCACCTGGAGTCTTTTGAGTATTTGAGATGGGAGTCTATGTAAATCAAATAAATACATAAAATATAACATGGATAATATTTTATGTTTTACTGCTGCTTTGGAACAAATCTTACTTCAGTATTAATATGAATAAATATTGTTTCCATATATTAAATATTAGGACTGATTACTAGAACTCTTCTAGGAATATGTTTACCATTTTGATTTCAGTGATAAAGAAGTTGCTGGTGGAGCCTGGTTTTATTATATGCAGTATTTTAATAGAAGAACAAGTAGATTTATAGGCATGTATTTCAATTTTTATGTGTTTTGTTTGTCTGAAGCATAAATTATACAAAACATGTTTTTTCTTCTTTTCTTAAGGTCATTGATATGCCTGAACATAATCCTGGTGACATGGGAGGAACAATGAGACTAGGGAAAAGAAAAACTATCTTTAAGACAGAAGACTCTTTGTTAAGTAAGTCATGGCATCTTTGGTTGGATCTTTTGCTTTTGTGTTCAAACCATATAATAGTATCTTGTTAAAATATATACTGTTTAAGAGTAATATTAATTAGATTCACTATCTTGTCTTAAATCTTAGTTATAATTCCTGTTAAACTTCTGCTTTCAGAAATCACTAGAAAACCTTAAGAGATATTGCAGGATGAAGTTGTCCTTCATATTAAGATTCTGAAGGATGTAATTATTATTTATTGTTGGTGCCTTCTTCAAAAGATTAGATGTGAGTCTGTGTTAGAAGCAGAATCTCCATCACTTTCATCATTCAAGGAGCAAAACAAAATTGATTTTGATTGATTTTATTGATTGATTTTATTG